GACGCAATTGAAGTGATGCAAAAATGATGTTAGCTGGAATTTAGCCCAACTCCTAACCATGACGCGCCTTGTTCTTCGAGGTTAGGTTTCAAGATAATACTTTGGAAAAAGTGAGAAGCATGGTCATCAGCGGATTTCAGCCATACTTCTTCGAATCCATTCATGGTAATTGTATGCGAACTTCATGTCTACTTTAGCTTTTTAAAACTTTTGTAATAAGTGACTTTTGAACCAACAAAATTGAAATTCTCTAGTATTGGAATGTGTAAGAAAGGATTGACAAAGCAGATACGAGTGGTTCAGAATAAGCACAAAAGTAAGAGCTGCAAAGCCTTCAGTAGACCTCGGCGGCAGGTCTCCGGAGAGCAGCTAGAATTCGTTCTTGTTAAAAAAAAGCAAAGGAGAAATCGTTTAGGGTCCAAGTTGGAGTATGGAGTCCATTTTCAATTGAACCGCTACCTCAAAAACAAGAATTTTTAAGCTTCTCTCCTTTTCCTAGCGGGGATCACGCATGCGACAATTCCTTTCCTATTCAATATTCACAGTAATTCCATAAACCATACAAAAACCTGCTCCAGTACAAATTCGATGTTTGTTTCAATGGGAACGTTTGCGAGGGAAGCTAGAACTAGTTTCAAGATATCCCTTTGAACGTTTCTAAATGAATAGGCAATGATTAACCATCAAAATTGGCGTAAACATCGCAACAAAGAGTAGAAGATGTGTTCAAAAGGAGAAACTTTTACCTTTTCATCCGCAATGCTCAAAGTTAACGCGTTCTGTCACCGAATCCATAATGTTGTATGTCATAAAAAGATAAGCGAGAATTTCGCGTCGACTGTACAATCTCGATGTAAAAGAGGCTATGGTTTGCCTTGATTCACTGGCAGTTATGCGCTGAACGATTGGATTTATTCTTAAAAACGTATGGTCTAGGAAGTCCCTCATTTTGATGTTTCAAACTATCCCACTAGTTTCTTCTATATGCTGAACCTGTAAAGTATT